CGCCGACACAGACGCCGAGTTTATTACATAAGCACCCCCAACTTCGTTGAGGTGAGCTAAAAAAATTCTTCTTTACTCCTGAACATCGAGAAGTCAAACTATTGGCATGAATTAATGTATTGAGCCCTCTACCAAAATTGTGAAATTCATGTTACCAGGGTCAGGGGCTCTGGTGCTAGGGCGGGGCTCTGTTGAATACATAGCGAAAATGCATTACTTATTAAAAATTATCCTCCTCTGCTCCTTGGTATTGATTATACAAGCTAAATGCATAGTTATTATATGCAAGGGTGCCTCTACCAAAATTGTGAATTTCATTGCCCCTGGGACAGTGTTTCTGTTGTTAGGACGGGGCTGTAATGACTATATACTGTAGTAAAAATGTTCTTCACTGAAAATCTCCTTTGCTCCTAGGTATTAAGCCGATGAAATAATGCATAGTTATGATGAGCAAGGATGCCGCTTCCAAAATTGTGAAAGATGTGCCCAAAGGTCAGGGGTTCCGGGGGGGGGGGGGGGGGGGGGGCTCTTGTGATTATATAGTGAAAATGCTTAATTCTTTGAAATTTTCTTCTCTGCTCCTGAATATTAAGCAAAGAAACTAAATGCAATAATATAAATGTAATTATAAATAAATGTACCTCTTCTCTGCTCCTGGGTATCTAGGAGGCAAACAAAGTTCAAAATTGTATTAAGTGAAGCAAATGAGAGTTACTCCCCTTTGTTAAATTGTATTAATTGAAAAATCATTGTTTGTAATTAATTAACAGGTTATTTGATTGATTGAAAATACAAGAAAGAATGTTATATATATATAGAGAGAGAGAGAGAGAGAGAGCGAGAAAATAAACATGAAAGTTTGGTTTAAATTAACAAAGCATGCTCAAAGTTGGATCCTTGCCTGTAAAGCAATAAAGACTGACAAAACGATTATTTATGGAGCAAAATAACCAATTATGAAGAGTATGGGTATACTGTGGTGTCCTGATTAACAATTGATGAGTTATTGTTAAGTAAAGGCATGGAGACCATAGACTAGTTGGTAAAATGCCTGCTCAAAGTTGATTGTTTCATATTTTATCAGTGACCAAGTGATCACAGAGAACCAAGGTGATTAGGGGACATGTAGTTTATGACAAATGTCAAATGGCCACGTTGTATAGCCAAGTAACAAGTATTACCAAGTTGTTTGCATACCCAAGAGGCAAGTGTTGTTCCGAAGTGGCAAGCAGCTATTTGTGTAGCCAAGAGGCATCACCACGAGTAAATATACAGGCATTAGAGATTTCTCTTTGTGTACACCAGGCAAGTGACAAAAACATATCCGTAAATATTAAATACCTTACACTCTATGCAAGTGTCCATTGTATATTTTGCATTCATCATCCTCCTCGCAAGACTTGGTCAAACCAAGTACAACCCAATTGAGATCACTCAGGTCTCGCATGTTACAATAAGCAAGGGTATTTTAATCAGATTTCTAGCTCACCTCAACGAAGTGAGAAGGGGGTGGGGGTGGAAGGTGGGCTTATGTAATACCTTCGACGTCGGTGTCAACGTCAGCATCGGCGTCCCAGGTTAAAATTTTTGGAGCAGATTTCTTTTCAAGTACTTCTATGCCCTATATTAATCAGAGATGCATGGAGGATGGTTCTAGTATGTTTCATTGTACCAGTCAAGGTTTCATACGCTGCAATTCCAGCTAGAGAATTGCCAGGTTAATGTTTTTAGAGAAAGTTAAAGTTTTTGGAGCAGGTTAAAGTTTATGGAGCAGGTTTCATTTCCAAGTACCTATAAGCCCTATATTGACCAAACTTGCATGGATGTTTCATCTGAGGATCCACACTACCAGACTTGCTTCGGATGCTGTATCTGACCTACATTTTCCGGATGAGTGAACATGTTAAAGTGTTTGGAGCAGATCTCATTTCCAAGTAAATATAAGCCCTATATTGACCAAACTTGCAAGGGTGGTACATTTAAGGATGCACACTACCAGGCTTGCCGGATCTGACCTACATTTTCAATATGAGTGACCAGGTTGAAGTTTTTGGAACAGGTCCATTAGCAAGAAACTATAAGGGCTATCTGAACCAAACTTGCATGAATGATGCATCACGAAATGAACACTCTCAAACTTGCTACAGATGCTGGATTTGACTTACATTTTCTGGATGAGTGACGTTTAAAGTTTTTTGAGAAGTCCAGTCCCAAGTAACTTCAAGCCCTATCAAACCAAAACTGCATAAATGTTACATCTAGGGATGCACACTACTGGATCATTAGTTTAGTATGGAACTTTGCCTTACTTATATAAAACTTTCGCTGAGGTGAGCTTTGTAATCTCTGATTACCTTTGTATGAAATTCTTGGGCATATTAGCTTCATCTTTCAGTTAATTTTGCTTCTATGGATCCTTTACAGTGTTGTATTATACTCAGGTGACCGTTAAGGCCCGTTGGTCTCTTGTTTTGTTTATTCCCATAAAAATGTTGTAAGCCCAACATAGCCCCTGGAGATGGAGTCTGACATAACTGAACTTGAATTCTCACAACATAAGGATGTTGTATTATCAATATGAAAAACATGGCTTTATGTATAAAATATGTTTTGCAAGAATTTTTCAAAGTGATGTTTAATCCTGTACATATATCCACATGATAGCTGATCAAAGTATTTACTTTGATACTTACTATAGTATATTTTTGTTGAGGCTAACCCCTCCAAACCTTAAAGTCTACAATTGAATAGGGAAAACTTAGAAATGTTTGCACATTCAATAATTCGGTGTGGCCTCGTTGCTTTGTAAAAGTGGATCCCTATTAATTGTATCCTGCAACCGGGGACCATGATTTGCACAAACTTGAACCTGCACTACCGACCCTTAAGATGCTTGCACATAAATCATAGTTCTGCTGGTCTGAAGAGTTATGTTAAATTTTGTCGCCAATATATATTCCCATGTGAAAAACTTAGAGTTTTTTGTCTCCTACATATTCCAGGTAAAAATGGATCCCTTATTTTGAACCCAACCTTCCCAGCTTATACCTTCTAATGGGGTAAGATAGGGTCTCAATAGGGTTTGTTAGTCTTATGTGGGAAAGGTCCATGGGCCTTGATGGCCACCGGAATATCATGGGTTTCTCAAGATATAACATTCTTAGCCCAAACCAAACCTGGAACTCGCGTCACTAAAATTTTGCAGTTTGGTGAGGACTTTATAATCATTATCATGGTCATGCAAATTCAGGAGTTATACAATGTATTGAAAATTTCAATATATGACCAACTTAGCCTCACCCTAGGGCCTGACTCCTGGGGATATATTTTTTTGTTATTTTTGTAAAGAGCTAGTTGCTCTGCAGCTCATTATAATCATGGAAACAATGAAATGTCCATGAGTAAATGAAAAATTTAACAGATGTACTAATTTTAGTATATGACCAACTTAACATCATCCACCTGTAAGAGGGATTTTGTATTTTTCATTTTTTCGCTCCTAAGGTCAATATGAAAATTCCGAAACCTTATTTCACATCTACAGGACACCAACAATCATCTCCCAAAAGATGATTAGGCTACTGTGTTAAATGTAAGGGGAGTTCAGAGGCCCGTTTAACAAAAGAACTTACGACTAAGACCAAAATTTTATTGTTTGTAACTTTTTAATTAAAGTTATATTGAAAATGGTTTTAATAATTTTAAAAGGAATGAAGTAATATATTTTTACACTAGCAATTATAAACAAAATCATTTATTTTGCAAAATTTTACAATCAATTTAAGTTCTCGGTCTTAGTCGTAAGTTCTTTTGTAAAACGGGTCCCTGGGAGCGAAATCATATTACTATTTTACTTTTTAAAAACAAAAAACAAAAAAAAAACATCATTTTCGATCCTTAATTGACCCCCAGGGTGGAAAAGATAATTCCGAAACCTTATTGCACACCAATCATCTTCCAAAATATGATTAGGCTACTGCATAAAATGTAAGAGTTCTGGAAATCAGTTCTATGTAGAAAAAAATGTCAGTTTTTGGTCCCCGCCTTTCGTAATATTTAAAATTTCAAAACTTGATTGCACATCTACGGGACACCACCTGTCATATTCCAAAAGAGTAATTGGTTACTGCTTCAAATAAAAGAAGAGTTTAAGGAGGAAGAAGAAAGTTTGCCAGACAGATGGACAGACCTATACCTGAACTTTAAGAAATTGCGGGTATAAAATTAGATGCCTGATACTCATTGATCAGAAAAAATCACTTCAACTCACTTCACTATATTAAAATTTATTCACATTTTAAACACCCAAGACCAGAGGGAACCAAAAGTCTCTGATGAGACTGTATCTCTACTGGTTTGTACTTCAAGAGAAAAGTAGCACTTGGATTTGCAACTATGCACCAGCAATAACTAGAATAATGGTCCTTTTTTGTGGCAAGATTTATTGCAATCAAACTAAAACTGTAGAAGGAGAAGCCTTTTTCAAGACTTTAACAGAACTTTCTATTTTTAGTAACCATTCATGAAAATAGAATAAACCATAAAGAGAATTACATGTATGAATCTCAGTGTAAAGTACTTGCATGCTAAGTTATAATAAAATCACACTAAAACTGTAGGAGGAGTAGTGTTTTGAAAGTATTTCATAGAAATTTTTTTTGAGTAACCATGCCAACACTGTTCATCAAAATCAAAACCTTTAAAAAGAATTATGTATCTTAGAGTAGTATACATGTGTGCCAAGTAATATTGGAATCAGACCAAAACTGTAGGAGGAGTATCATTTTGAAAAATTGTTTACAAACAGATGGATGGACAACAGACACCTTACTATCGCATAAGCCCATTTAATCTCTGACCAGCAGGCTGCAGAGCTAAAAAAAAAGTAATACTTCATAATTCAAGTTATTCTGTACAAATAAACAGAGAGATTACGATTGACATAACTAAAATTCATACATGTATATCTCACAAAAAAGATACAAAAAAAAATCCATGAATGATGTATCAAATTTTATTTGATCCCATTTAGCACACTTCGTGAAAAAAAACAAAAACAAAAGTATCTCTTAAGTGAACAGCCAGAACTCTTTTTAAATATGCTGACAATTCAAGACAACTAAAAACGGAATCTTAAATCTTTTTAGAATTTCAGAATGAAGCAATAACTAACTGACCAGTCAGCAAAGGCCTGCAGAGGAATATCTATCTAACAGTTGGATTCAAGGTATGAGATAATGTTGCCTTGCTAAAAGAAAAAAAATTAAAAAATTAAAATACATGTAAATGAAAAAGAATGTTACCGCTATGTGATGACATTAGAGAATATTTCCTTATTGGCAAAACTTTTTTTTTAATCCTAACTTCACTGTCTCTTAAGATTTATTTTGTCCTTGTATAAGTTTGCAATGTACCGTATAAAGAGTATCTTAAGTTAATTTTTTTTCAAAAATTGGATCCTTAGAATTACATGTATATATCTGTTCAATCAATTGTGTGTTTAAACAGAATGTAAAATTAAAATTAATTTTTTTTTTTTTAAATGCAAGCCTTCAGTGAATGCAAACATCAACAAGGCTTTACTTAAAAACAAATATCACTTGCAGACAGAGGTGTTAATTAATTTTAAATAAGAGGAACTGCAAGCACTGAACTCACAAAATAAAACCCCTAGTTCCCATGTGAGTATAATGGGAAAGTCCATTTTTTGCAATGGGAAACCCCAAATACATGTATCTGTCCAATCTAATTGTAAAATCGGAGGTGCACAATGGCCCTATGACAAAGTAATAAAAATTCTGTGAGGGTCTCATTAAATTTTAGTAAGTTGTATAGGAGGAGTTGTGGATAAGAGATGGGTACCCTCTAATATTATACAAAGAATGGCAGTGTGCAGTTTTTGTTCAGAGATGTAAAATAGGTGCACAATGGAGCCATGTAATAAAGATTCTGTGAGAGTCTCATTTAATTTTAATCAGTGGTTTTAGAGAGTTGCAGATAAGAGATGGGTACCCTCAATGTTGTAGAAAGAATGGTTGTGCCCATGTTTTGCTATGAGAAATCCAAAATATGTCTCATCAAAATGTAAAATAATAAGTGCACAATAGCACTGTGTAATAAAGATTCTATAAGTCTCTCATTAAATTTTATTCAGTGGAGTTGCAGATTAAGAGTTGGGTAACCCAAAGTGTTACATACAGATGGACACCCCCATCACAGGGGGAGGGGGGATAAAGATAAAAATTAGACTCTGGATTTTCTGCAATAAGCAAAACAATTGATACCAGGGGACTTACTGCAGCTGTCATCCTTTCATATAGTATAAAAAGAAACATTTTTAACCATTACCTCTCTTTAGCAATTCATTCTTTCATAAGTTTAGGAATCTTCCTCTCCCCATCGGATCATTCCAGAAGACATACAGAATCAATTTTCAACCAACATATCAAATAAGAAAATAATATGACAAAAATTAGAAAAGTAGTTAGGGAAAAAAAAAAGAGGAAATATTTAGATGGACAGAATTGCTGATGGACAGACAGTGATTACTATACTGCACCTATGACAATCTGCGCAAGCCCTAAAATTGAATATAAACAGTTCTCTATAACTTTCATAATTGTTGATTTGGAATTTTAGATAACAAAAACAAATAGAAAAAGCAAAATAAATAAGGAAAGTACACATATTCTTGTCACAGAAAAGGTTCAAGTATAATCATGTTCCAAACATCCATTTCCTATAGCTTCTTAGGATTCGAGAGTGTCTTTGATATATTCATCAACTTTTTGTGCTAGAAATTTTAGTGGCACAGACCCACATCTTAGAACCACGGAGTGGAATTCCCTGACATCAAATTTGTCTCCTTAAAATAAAAAAAAAACAGATTGCAATATTCAGTTATTTATATCATGTATGTGATGAGACACCACAAAAAATAGAATATGAAAAAGAGATAAAAATGAATTTCTTTCATGTGTAAAATATATGTTTATATATATGAAATCCAAAAATATCACAGAAATTCAAAAGGTTCAAACTGTGTACTGAAAAAAATCTTTTAGAATTACAGCTCCAGTTCCACGGAATTCTCTTCCTGTGTATTTTAAACTATTTTTTACTTTGAAGGACTTTGAAATACAAAAACAATCAAACCTCATTATCTCGAACTTGATGGGACCGAGAAATTTTTTTTGGAGATATCCGAGGGTTCGAGATATCGAGGGTAAAATACTTAAGAAATATGTGGTTAGGACTTTGACATGTCCATGGTATTCAAGATATCCTTGTTCCAGATACCGAAGTTCAACTGTACCCGTATTAATACTTAGCAATTTTAAAATAAGGTGTTGTTTTTTTTTGTTGTTTTTTTTTAGGAAATTCTATGTATGAGTGACTGAGCATTATCAAGTTGTCTGTGTTTTATTACCTAATGCTAGACTGGCTTTCTGTCTTAGCTGTTTTAATACGATTTCACCTATCTTATATGCACACGCTTGTCCTGGTAAGGTAACATATCTTTTAACCTCAATCTCCAAAGTGTTCACATCCAAGAATGTTTTTTCTACCATGTAATTCAAAGCCTCCTCAAATGTCCATCTTAAAAGAAATACTTGAAATATTTAATACCATTAACCATTACCATTACCATTAGAACAATCACACTTTCTGACTTAAACAGTACATAAAAACAAGAGGCCCAAGGGCCTTAATAGTCACCTGAGTATATTACAACACTGTAAAGAATCGATAGAAGTATATAAAATAAACTGAGAAAGATGAACAATGTTGCCCAAAAGCAAGAAATATAATGATAAAAGATCAACAACATAATTAGTCTAGCACTCCTTAAGGTCAAGATCTAGTAAATGCAAGATGCCTACAGATTTTTCAAATTTGAGAAACGAGTTCTTTTAATGATCCTTTACAAATATAGCTTGCAAAAATAGGGTGTTTCGGAACATAATTTTTTGATAAACTAGACGAAAAAACATATTTTAAACTGCAGTTTTTAATGAAAAAAGAAGAAAGCCAGGTATAAATTTTGGAGTTTTTTCCATCTCAGATAAAAGAAATGTATCAATATTGCCTATAGCCTCTCAGAAAATGGTTTTTCATTTCCTCTTAACCTCTACTTCAAAATGATATTAAATTGAATATAGATATCTGGGTTACTTTTGACATGATTTCAAATTGAATACATTGAAAATGCTTCATTTGCTACATTTCTTTTACAGTACAGGAAAAATCAAGCTTAAATCAATTATGACGTCATAATGGATCTAGCACCAAAAAGACAGTCTAAAGTCATTTACTAGATCTTGACCTTAATAAATCCTAATCTAGATCTATTTATTGCCTGTACCTGCCCCCATTTGTAACCTAAACAAAACATTAGTGCTTATCACTACTGGTAAACCCATCTCATTCCCCTCACATTGGCCTTTCTTGGTCTTTGAAGAACATTTAATATACAGAGATTGAATGATGAACTAGGCCGCTAATAAAACATCAATACTAATAATGATATTTTTTATTAGATTGAATTAATTGCAACTATCTGTCAAGCTTGTGAGACATGACACTCTGCAATTCGTTTGCTGAAATATGAAAAAAAATTATATCAAATTAATTTTGAAAATAAAAGGCTGGTCATCCAGTAACTACATGTATGTATTTTAATTTGACAGTCTATCAATTGCAATTAAAAGAGTTAGAGAACAGATCTTTAATTCTTAATTCTTCTGCCCAATTCCCTAATTCTTCTGCCCAATTCCCAGGAGATACAGATAACACCTGCTTAATCAGAGATGTGCTAACAGCTACCACATTGAACTCATCAATTAATCTTTAACTGGATAAATGTCAACTCATCAAGGGATGAATGGATTTACACTATCTGCTGTGTGATGCACTGTTAATTCTGCATTTTTGTAGGAAATCCCATTTTGGAAGAGGCTCCCTTGCTCATCATAACTTTGCATTTAGTAGGTTTGCTAAATATACAGGGAAAGAGGAGTAAATTTTTCAAGAATTTATGCATTTCACTATATGAACTAAGAGCCCAATCCTAACTCTGGAATTCCCTGATCCTGTGGCTATGAATTTCACAATATTTGTAGAGGGTTTAAGGACATATGCAACATAGTTTGAACTTTATTGTCTTTTCCCCTGGAGTTGAAGAGTTCCAATACTTAAAGGAACTCTGTGCTACATTTTAATGTCTATATATGCTGTTGAACACTTCTTCTAAAACAAGTTTGGATAAACAAAACATCTAGAATATATGTTTAGAAATTTTTGTATATTTTTCTTTGAATTATACAAGAACTTTCATCAACTGATATCTTTTCAAAACCCCGGTAATGCATTGTTGATTTTTTGTCTACAAACATTTGATGGCACTATAATCTTAAATTAAGAATATCTTGAAAAATTATCAGTAGGTAAGGTATGTTGCATATGTCCTTAAGGCTTGTTACAATTATGCTAACAGTTTGACTGCTTGATGTCCAGGAGTACAGAAGAAGACTATTAAAGATAGCACCAATTTTGATGGTTTTAGTCCCACCCCCTCAGGCTCCATGGGGGTGGGAACCATGATATTCACAATTTTTGTTCCCCTTCATTTATACATACTTATGCTGAAATGGTTGAAATTGGTTCAGTGGTTCCAGAGAAGAAGCTGAAAATGTTCAAAATGTTAAACAATGCACAATGCACGTTGCATGACGACGGACAAATATATTCTCAGGAAAAGTTGCATGTTTGTGTGAAAGACTACTATATTTTTATTTATGCCATACCCCTTGCATAACTTTGTTGAATGGTTTCCAATAAGGCATAACGTTTACTTCGAACAACATTGAACACTGAATATATTTCTTTTTCATAAACAAGAACAAAATAATGTCATTTTTGTAAAAAAAAAAAATATTTTTGCTGCAAGGGACATTTCTTTTGTAATTTATAAGCTGTACAGTGTGATCACCTACCCGAATGCATGGATTCCTGTATCAACTACAAGACGAGCAGCTCTCAAAATCTCTCCACAGTATCTTCCAAACCTAAACAAATGAGCATATTAAATTACAGATCTAGATGTGGACTAAACTTAACAATAGAACAAATGCTAAATTTTACATAAAACATCCCCATCTTTCATTTACGGTTGCTCTGTAACTCACAAAGTGTAGTTATCCTCGTATAATCCAAGTTCCTCTCCTAGGTATTCACAGTACAGTCCCCAACCCTAAAATCAACAACATTTCTCTAAATATCATATATATTAAGATTTTAAAAATTAACATTTCTTACTAGATCTGTATTTTGGACGAAATTTGAAGTAGTGTTTGTGTTATAACAAGAAAGTGATTTTAAACCAAGTCGATCTATCAATTTCTGATATTTTTCTCTTCTCCAAGCAAATATATTGTAGATAACCAAATTTTTGTGACATTTTATTTTTGTAAGGCAGTTATTTGACATTTATAACCAAGACAATTTTTTTGTGAATTTTGGTTCTGTTGTATATAATCTTTAATAATACAATACTGTAGAAGCAATTTTTGTTGGGATAAAATTTTGTTGATTTGTGATCCAAAAACTGTTTCTTAGGGATTTAATTTTGTTGTTTAAAAAGTAACTATATTCAATATATAGCAGTATAAAATTTTGTTTGAGATTTAATTTAGTTGATAATTGTTACCCACAAAATTAAATTAAATCCTCAGTGAACAATCTGATTTTACAGTACACATGAGAATGAAATTTTCACGAGGAGACAGTTTCGAGTAATTATGCTAAAGATAAAGTTCCCTTGAATAAAAGGTGATTTACAGTATGTAATGTTATAAGCAAAGGCAAGGTAGAATGTACTGCTTCTTTATTGATATTTCAAAAGCTTTCTACTGTGCACATTCTTTGGTATACACCATTGAAGCAAGGGGTCAGTACAAAATCTTACTGATCTTAAAGTCAATGTCTTCCCAACTGACTTCATGTGTTAGATATCAAAATTCAGAATCATTTTTCTGATTTTTTTCCATGTAATATAGGTACTAGACATGGTTGCACATTAAGTCCTCTATTATTTTTCATGTTTATTAGTGAACTCACATACAGTGTAATTATAAGAATCAGTGGAATGTAAAGGTATTTATATTGATGAAACTCTTACAAATATTATGCAGTTGTGTTGTGCAGATGTTGTGAATTTTGCAGATACTGTTAAACATTTACAAATCAAATTCAGTTATTAGAAAAACTTTACAATAAGTATGGTTACAAAATTAATTTATTGAATATCATGATGTTAAATTAAGAATGTGTAATGATAAGGACAGAGAATCAGTTTTGGAGGAGGAATTGAAATTGTGCTGGGTTTTTTTTAAATATCAAGGGTATAGATTTTGTACAATGTCATGGGAATGACAAAGAAGTCTCTCAGGGTGTCTGCAGAAAAAGCATTGTTTACTGTCTATAACTTTATGAAGATGTTCAATGTATCCTTTACACAAGTTTTTTTTTTTTTTTTTTTGAAACTAATGAAATAATGAAAAATAAAATAATGAAAATTTTCAACAAATAGGTTCATCTCCAATTAAGGTGCAGTATGTTAAGAGATTCGCTGCATTCTGATTAAAGCAATATGTAAATTAAAAATATCTTTATCATTAAATGCAACACAAAACTTGTATGGAGGATGAAGAGCACTTTGTTGGAGATTGTGAATTGTATGTTGATATTAGATCATTGCCAGGTTGTAATTATATCAAAACACTGAAGGTATCGTAGGGATACTGTGAATATCTTCAAGTAAATATGATAAGGATATTGTGAATATAATTATTTAAGGAGGTGATGCAGCTTTAAAAGATATTGCTTAATTTACCTTTTTGGCTTTTGAAGAGAGGAAAAGAGCAAGTTTTTGGAAAATGCATTCTCTGTCAATTGTAAAATCATAAATTATGTCTGCTCATTATATTCGTGTCAACATATGCTTGATGTCCAGAGTAAAGGAGATTTTTTAAAAGACTACATTAGTTTAATTGTTTTGGTCCCACCCCTTGGGGGTCCCAGGGAGACAGAGATCATGAAATTATCAATTTTTGTCCCCTTCAGTCTTCACCTATAGACGCTATTTACTAAACTTGGTTGAAATCAAAATTCTGTGGTTCCAGAGAAAAGGATGATAATGTTCAAAAATTTCAACCAATGGATGTTGCACGATGCACAAAAACAGAAAAACAGACAGCAACTATAGGTCACCTGAGTGTCTCAGGTGATGGCTATTCCAGTAAAAAATCTACCATACTCCAGAAAATTTCATTGAATTTATTTTTTTTTCATACAAGGACCTGGAATAAAATTTTATTTGTTGTGAAAATTTTGGTAGGGATTTTTATGTAATGTTTTTATATAAACTTTAGAAAGATTATGAAAATCTTGTCATAAAATTTTACAGTGAAATTTGTCTAATTCAAATGTTGTGCATTCCAAAATCTTGTCTAATATGATGTCAATCTGTAAATTCAATGACTAAAATGTTGTCTAATCTGTAATGTTGTTTAATCTGGCCAATTTTTATGGGACCAGCGGTGTCTGGATTAGCCAAGTTTCACTGTATTATAAAACGTAATGATCTTATATCTGCAGGTGTTCATTTATCATTTCCACTTATTACTTCAGTATACAAGGCTTCAAAAATGACGTCTTGAAACAAGAGGAAGTAACCGAAAAATGAATCCAACCTGAGATTCTACTTGTATGTTCTCTTTAATGCCAGTTTGAATTTCCTCTAAATATTTAAATGCCACCAATGTGAACTCAATTGAATTTTAAAGGGGGAAAAAATCTTATGATAATTTTTATTAACTCAAACAAGCAGGGTTAGAAGAGATTTCTGAAAGTAGTACAATGGATACATGTAAATTATCCATCTGAACAAACCACCCAAGAATCAATATATTAATAAGTATCCTAATAGATAGAAGAGTATTTTTTGGTCCTCCAGGGGTTGGGTTTTTACTGGAATAGCCCTGACCTAATAAAATACTTAATAAACCAATAAATGTGTGTTTTCTTACAATCTCCAGTAAAAGTTTATATCTAATATAATACATAAGAAATTTCATAACCTTCTGTATATTTTTTATCTACACAAACCTCTAAATATGCAGTATACATTGGAAATCTAGAAGGTACCCAAGCGTAATTCAAGTCCTCGTTTGCTCTCCTAAAAGCATGGAGCTCTTTCATTTCCATGGAAATCATTCCCTAAAAGTCAATTATAATAAAAAAAATTTAAATATGAATTTCACACAAGTACATTTTCCTTTCAATTCCTTTAAATTAATAAATTAAGCTAAATAAGATAAATTTCATCTGGAGAAGCCTTGAAAGCTTTGCATTTTTCTACTTGATTTTATGAACAATGTCAATACCCACAAAGTATCACACTTCATTAAGTCTACTTGTATGAGAAGAATAGAATATTGTACATGTATTCCTTTAATCATTCAGAATCGACTTTCAGAAATATGGAAAAATGAAAAAATCTTGATGATACCATTTCATTGAACATTGACAGGCATGCATTCAAAGCACTCAAAACTGCAACAAAGGCAGAAAACAATATAAAAGTCTAGTACATGTACTACAATTTCACTCATATTTTAGATTTTATTTTCATTTATTTTTCATAATAAATCCTTTTCCTGGAAAATTATGATGAACATTTAAATTAAAAACTAGTATACATTGTTTCTAGTAATTTTTTTTTTTATTGAAATCAAGATATTTATCATTGGATTACCTATGGATTAATGATTTAGACCACTACTGAAAATGTGTTAATGGACACTGAAAAAAACAATACTGTGGAATCACCATTGTTCATGGGTAACCAAAATTTGACTGGTTTGTGGGTACGTAATTTGGTGTTTAACTTGCAAATTTTATAAAGATAAATAAATCAAATATGCTAAAATGTATGTGGGTTTCAAAGTTCATGGGGACAGTAATTCATGAATAAGGGCTACCCATGAAATCCACGAACATTGACCCCCCATGAACAATGATGATCCTACAGTACCCTCTCCCTGACCACGTGACACACCTAACTTACATCGAAGTGTCTGATTTCATATATTATCCCAGATACTGACCTGGAAATGATGCCCAGGTTCTCCTTCATGTAAACATAATGCTGGTAGTTCATATTTTGGACTGAAAATAAATTATACAACAATTACTAATTTGTAGCAAGTTTATAGAAATTAGCATTCATGTACTGCAAATGTGGAATTTACAAGTTCTCATTGTGTGAATTAGAAGCAAACACATTACACATGGGTGTAATTTCTGCCATAGCAGGCTTAGGCACTGTTAAAACTGAATCAAATATGATTAAAGGCATCTTAACACTGGGAATATTTACAATAAAGTTATATCACAAACATGTATTTAGCAAAAACTTCCCCAACGTAAATTTCCACGTTTCCAGTGTACATTGATTAAGAATCAACATTGTGGATAAACAATTAATGAGCACTGTATGAGCACAGTAAGTATTTTTTATCACATACTTTACTTGTAAGTTAGATGTACTGATATAGTACACACCAGGTCTACTGCCATCAGGGGAGCCATTGAAGTAGAATGCCACAGGACCATCATCCATCAGAGGTGGAGTGGGCTCAATTCTAATGTTTAAAAAAAAAGGAGAGTATATCTTAATCTTTTATTTTCCTACCATAATCTTTTTGCTGTACAGATAAGAACAAGCAAGCACAATTGTACTACATTTCTATGGAATCCTTATAGTACAGTTGTATTTGTCTTATGATGGTCAAACAAATAACACCTGTTTAAATCACAAATTCATAATCTATTCCAGATGAAAAGACAGAGAGAGAGAGAAAGACAGATAGAGAGAGAAATTTACTTCAGCCTTGACTTTGGAGATTCTTTGAATAAAAGTGGTAACTTTGGTTGAATTTGGTCAAAACATATATGCTTGACATAATCTATGAGCTCTTCCTGTAACAAAGAAGGAACACAAGTATGAGAATGGCAGAGAATGAAAAAAAACAAATATATATCAAATATGCTTATATCACCAAGAATTCCTGTGTAATATATAAGATAAACATACAGGGGTTTTACAATGAAACTCATCCCTTTTGGAAATGTCTTCTTTAAACTTCCTAATGTCTGTTCCAAAGCCTTCCTCCTGGGTAATCTTATGCATCGCCTGTGTGATTCTCTCTACCTCTACCTTACCAATGTCAAACACTTGTTGGGGGGTCATTGAGAGAGACAGATGGAACTCCAGACAATCCTGATACAACTCCTCCCCATTAGGGAGGGAGTAAATGGATATATCAGTACGCAAGTACTTCATGTAATCCTAAAATGCAACAGAACAAAACAATGTATATCTCTCCTGAACTCCACACATGAAAACATGCACATTTAAGGGAGCCGACTGGGGTTTTATTGTGTGAAAACTACTATAGAGAAACTCTTTAATTTTATACCATATGTACCTTACATTGACTTCAGTATACATGCCAAGTTTAGTGAAAATCTACCATCTGGTTATTTTTTAGGGACCATCTCAAAATACAGGTACATTTACTATAGGATTATATAGGAAAATACCATTTTTTGGCACTTCGGAGCAAATTATACAAATGCTACTATAGAAATTTTGCTCAAATTATATTATTTGATGGGTAATACTATACTGTACACTTTATGCAAGAAGCACAAAATTCTACCGTCTAGTTTTCAGAAGGGGTATCTCAAAATGTCAAAATTCATGATATTTTCCTGTTTTTATGGAGTACAACAAAACAGATTTACATAAAAAATAATAAAAATGATTTTGAGATTCTCAATTTCCTTTGTTTAAAATTTCAAGAGCATCCATTTCATACTTTTTATTTATGACATTATTAACAACCCCGCTTAAAGAACTTCGGTTATTCATAACGTCAAGAACACACTATTATGACATCTATCTACCCATCATTTGAAAAATCATTTAAAAAATCAGTTTTTAAAAAATGTACTTATTAGATTTTTTAACATGAGATTTCCTAAATTTTTTAATTTTTATCAATTATGTAAAAATAGTTGCTTTAAAAGAGTAAATACGCATTATTTTACTATGCTGCACGAAGTATGTCGCAATGAAAACCCCCATCAGCCGCCTTAACAATAATTTTTTTTTTCAAAATATGACATTTTTCATCATAAAAATAAAGTCAAGAATAAAAATTGAATTTTCATATAAAGGACTTAAGTTTGAGAGTAATTAGATGTACCTTATCCTAATTATATGTACGTACATTTTCTATATATTCGGCCAGTTCTTTAAATGCTGGTCTTACAACATTTTGGACAATCTCTTTTGCTTCTGCTAAAAGTTCATCTCTGAAATAAAAATGAACAAAAATATAAAAATTGAAAATATTCTCTTGCCTCCTGCTTTCAAAAAACACAGGTATGAAAGATTACAAAGCTCACCTTGACAAATATTATCTACAAGTCTGCAAAGTCTCATTACCAGTTAACAATTCTGTTAAACATGTAATTAGTTTACATTCCTACATGTATGTACACTTTTATAGATTTCCTATTGAGTCCCCAACCTACCCCCTGGGCCATAATTAGAACAAATTTAAAACTGCACTACCTGACGATACTTGAATATTAATATAACAGATTATGACCAGCTGCTCAGGAATAAAAAAAAAATGTAATTTTTTTCCAATATACTAGCTCTCATGTTAAATTTTGATCTCCTTTTGTGACCCCAACCTATCCCAAGGAGGCCATGATTACAAACAGGAGTTTACATTATCTGAGGATGCTTGATATTATTATGACTTAAAGTTTTTTTTATTTTTGGGAAGAAAATTTTGAAGGATGTTTCTTTATATATTCCTTCGTAAAACTTTTATTTTAGCTACTATTATGGCCATACCCTACCTCCCATGCAAAGAAGAAGTTGAAAATGTTAGAAGTTAACAAACACACTACTGTACAGGTGACAGACAGACAGAGACCAGACACTCTTCGATCAGAAGACCTCACTTGAGCCATTGGCTCAGATCTGCTAAAAACTGTAGGGGGAGTAGCATTTAAAAAAAGCAATTTTCTTTATTACAGTTCCTGTATCATTCACAGTGCTCTAACCAATCACAGTTCTGCATTTATCTTTTACTGTTTAAAATTACTCTTTTTTGTTTCTTACCTGATTATGAAGCAAGTACAATTCAAGGAAAAAACCAGAGATATTCCAAATATAAATCGGTCATCTTGCAATCATTGTGCATTCACTGATTGTGCTCACTCTGTTTAATAAATGGACACTAAGTTGCGTTCAGCATTCATACACCATTTACTCAGTTAACTCATCATTCAAAAGGGAAAGTAGAAAATTTTAGGGACTTCAATTACCATGGCAACACCATGTAGCCAGTAAGAAATAAGATCATAACTTTAGGAGCAGCATTTTGAAACTAGAAAAATGTCCATAGGACACAAATGCCCTGCCAAGGGTATATTAGTAATGCAACATAAAAATTTCTATTAGTGTATGAAGTTTGATGAGAATATTTTGAATAGTTTCTTTAAAATTGATATTGAAATCTAAAAATTGGATATAGACGATAAATTCTCACCAAATTATGTATATAAGTGCAAAAGCTTACATAAAATATCTTAAATGGTTTCTTATAAACTAAGCAAAATGCAAATTTAAGAAAAGTGAAATCAAAGTTCAAGGTCAAATGTTTTTGATGCAGTTGAATAACTCTCCCTAATACGTATTAGCATATTAAGTTTGAAAAAAAAAAATATCTTGAATGATTTATTTGAAACTGAGCTAAACACTAATTAAAGAAAAGTGAGGTCAAAGGAAAAGTCTAGGTCAAAAAAATGTTGATGCAATTGAATAGCACACTTCAGTATGTATCAGCATATGAAGTTTGATAAAACTATCTTGAACAGTTTCTTTATAGCTGAGCTACACACTAATTTATGAAAAGTGAGGTCAAGGTCAAAGGAATAGCTCTCATCAGTATGTATCAGCATATGGAGCTTGATAAAAATATCTTAAATAATTTCTTTGAAACTGAGCTTATTATAAATGTAAAGTGGAAAGATGGAAGGGCAGATGGACATGACAAACTCTATATTCATGGCAGGGCATAAACAAGAGGCCCATGGGCCATAATGCTCACCTGAGTCAATATGGCCCTGCTGTTCTTCATCAGCAGATTTCTTCTCCTATATATTCATATGTAAAGCTTTGATCGCCTGTTCTAGGCATACCCTTGGGGAGGTCATAATTTGAACAAACTTGAATCTACACTACCTGAGGATGCTTCCATATCAATATGACTAATCATGGCTTTGTTGTTCTTGAGAAAAATATTTTTAAAGATATTTCCTATATATGTTCTTTTGTAAAACTTTGATCACCCATTATGGCCCCACCCTACTACTGGAGGATGCCTTGAACAAACCTGAATCTTCAATACCTGGTGATGCTTCCATATCAATATGAATAATCATGGCTTTGCTGTTCCTGAAAAGATTTTTAAAGAATTTTCCAATATATTCCTGTGTTAAACTTTGATACCCCATTGTGGACCCACCTATACCCCCAGGGGTCATGATTTGAACAAACTTGAATCTACACTACCTGAGGATGATTCCATATCAATATGACTAATCATGGCTTTGTTGTTCTTGAGAAGATTTTAAAAGAATTTTTCTATATATTCCTATGTAAAACTTTGATACCCCATTGTGGTCCCACCCTTCCCCCTGGGGTCATGATTTGAACAAACTTGAATCTTCACTACCTGAAGATGACTCCATATCAATATGACTAATTGTGGCTTTGTTGTTCTTGAGAAGACGATTTTTAAAGAATTTTCCTATACATTCCTATGTAAAACTTTGATCCCCCATTGTGGCCCCACCCTACTCCCGGGGGTCATGATTTGAACAAACTTGAGTCTACACTACCTGAGGATCATTCCATAATAATATGATTAATTGTGGCTTTGTTGTTCTTGTGAAGAAAATTTTGAAAGAATTTTCCCATATATTCCTGTGTAAAACTTTAATCCCCCATTGTGGCCCCACCCTTCCCCCGGGGTCATGATTTGAACAAACTTGAGTCTACACTACCTGAGGATCATTCCATAATAATATGATTAACTGTGGCTTTGTTGTTCTTGAGAAGAAGATTTTTAAAGAATTTTCCCATATATTCCTATGTAAAACTTTAATCCCCCATTGTGGCCCTATCCTTCCCCTGGGGGTCATGATTTGTACAAAATTGAATCTACACTATGTAATAAAGGTTTCACCTAAGTTTCAACTTTTCTGGCCCAATGGTTTTTGAGAAGAAGATTTTTAAAAGATGACACCACATTTTCACCAATTCTTAATTATCTCCCCTTGGAAGAGAGCATGGCCCTTCATTTGAACAAACTTGAACCCCCTTCACCCAAGGATACTTTGTGGCAAGTTTGGTTGAAATTGGCCCAGTGGTTCTGGAGAAGAAGTCGAAAATGTAAAAAGTTTACAGACGGACAGACAGACAGACGACGGACAAAATGTGATCAGAAAAGCTCACTTGAGCTTTCAGCTCAGGTGAGCTAAAAATGTTTACAAAAACAAAGACAGACAGATATATCTTAAGGTCAAGATCTAGACAATGAAAGGTGCTTACTTAATTTTAAAATTTGAGAAATGAGTTCTTTCAATGATCCTTTAGAAATATAGCTTGGTAAAATAAGGTGTATCGTGACATAATATTTAGGAAACTCAATGAAAAAACCTATTTTAAACTGGCACTTTCAATGCAAAATGAAGATTAAGTATGAATTTCAGAGTTTTTTTTTCATCTTAGAAAAAGGAAATGTATCAATATTGCCCACAGTCTCAAAGAAAACGGTTTTTCTTCTTGACATCTACTTTAAAATGAAATAGAATTTAATATAGGTATCAGAGTTACTTTTCACATGATTTCTAATTCAATGACATGAAAATGCTTCATTTTCTACATAATTCTATTACAGTCGTAAAGTATGAGTAAAGTATACTTAGATCAATTATGACTTCATGATGGATTTAGCACCAAACAGACGGCCTAAACTCATTTACTAGATCTTGACCATAACAGAATAAGCTCCTCTAGTTTTCATCCTGTTCAGCTACAAATGATGTCAAAAACAAATAGACAAGTTTCATAGTTTAAAGTGATAAAATATGCTCTGTGCAATGACAAAGCAGTGAAGTTTTAAAAGGCCATGTGAGAAAATTATCAACAACAGATGTATTTAATGGGTATAATTTTTAGTGGCAACACATAGCCTTAGATATGGGATATACATGTATTCCAAATCTGAATGCAAATATTCCTCTGTGTTAGGTTAGTAACTGAGGAAAATTTGGAAATTGACAAAAAAACTGAGTCATCTTTACTATAGCAGTACCAATGAATATGAAGTATATCCTGATACTTTCATTATTTAAGATTTTAATTCAGTAAGATTACAAATACAGCTGAACTTTGGTATCCTCAACATTGATGTCTGAAGTACATGTACCTTGTATATGTCAAAGTTAGATGCTACCCATCTATTTTTTCTATGTATTTTTACCTTGGTACCTTGAATCCTTGGATATCTTGAACTCTTTTTCCTCAATCACAACATATCTGAGATAATAAGCTTGACTACATTTCTGTAAGTATTTACTTAACTTACTTTATAGAAGGCTCGATGGATGCGGGAAATTTTTTGTAAGGTGCTAGAAAAACATCTTTTTCTGGGGTAAGCTCAGCAGTAATCATGGTATCTAATTGTTCTGGCACACCTTCCTAAATGATACACACAACAAAATAGACCATTTAGTACAGTAATATGAGCTGAATTTATCTATCATTATTATTATTTCATCTGCCATCTTTAATAGTTTGTACCACTGTTACACACTTGACAGTACTCTGAAAGCTTTCACTTACCTCTTTTTAAAATATTCAATTTATTTGAACTGAAGAAATATATAAATTTTGCTTACTATTGAGTATAGATGGTTAACATGACCATGGTCTACCCCTTCTTTCAGAAGGTGTATACAACTTCTGGCCTACAAGAAAACAAAAACATATTCTACTCACAAAGTGAATGATACGGTAACAAAGTGCTAAAAGTATAATAAAAGTTTAATTGACAATTTATATTCCTCAAATAATTGATACACTGTAGCTGAAACTTTAAATGATAGGTATAATTTTAATCTATATGCATACATTTGTACCTGTCAACTCTCCCAATTTTATCAGGGACCTAGCTACCAGTTTTGAACCTTCATGTCATGTCTCCCAATATTTTTTTTTAATTACTATTTCTACTGATTTTGAAAATATCCAAATTCTTTAACTACTCTGGTTTGTAAAATATCAACAAATCAACATAAAAAATGGAGGCCATGCACTGTTTATTAATAATTGGTAGATAATCTGTTTATGCCTTTGATGACAGGTAATAATCAAGTTGTCAACTTTGCTACCAGATATAATTGAAGCTGTAATAATTTTATTGCTCCTTGTTCTCAATAACTATTATGTAAGAAATAACTCTTACATAGTGATATGTGCTATTTTTTGTATTTGCAAAAGGTCGTGATGCGTTTTCTTCCCCCAGAAAATTTAGGCCATGTCACTGACAGCTGTATTGTATTGTATTGTATTGTTTATTACCAAGAACCATACAGTTCATAGGTTTAAAGTATATACATGAATCAATTTGTATATTATATATATATATTTACATTTGCAAATGTTTTCTTTTATATAACACTATTAAAAGCAATGCGTATCTATATCCGTATAAACACGGGTTCCTCGCGTCATAAACGTTCGACGTAATTTCTCAGTGACGTCATAAAGGGTCGACGCGCAATCAACGGATCAAATACGTGCCGTTGGGTTTGAAAAATAAAACATTTCACGCGTTGAAGATTATAATCAGGAAAACATAAAATATGAATAAGTCACAAATGTAAATATAAGTAATAATGTATCATTTTAAAACATCTATCGGATATAAATACGGGTTGGTACGAGATCAAATTTACCATAAAGCCCTTCGGGCTTTATGGAATTTGATCTCGTGACCAACCCGTATTTATATCCCGATAGATGTTTAAAAATGATACATCATTTCTTAAATAACATTTCATTACCATTTGTACATTAAGTAAAGCAGGATCATAGTAAAGCAGCATTCAAATAAAGATATTATTCACAATTTTAGTGGAACATTTATTGAGATTATATATCACCCACTCACTTTCTTTTCATAACATCTAATTCTTTTATTCAGATTTCTGAAGTCTTCCACTGTTTTCGTTGGACAGGTACTCATAACTTTGGGAGCATCTACATGCAAGCCGTCCATAAAGTTGATTGGAAAATACCAACTGAAAGAATTGCACAAGATATTATAATTCTATCCTTAAGATATCATAATTTTATCCTATTCATCAAAACCATGCTCTCTACTACATTTTCTGGCACTGATAATCATTATAATATCTTCTGATATTTTTTGTTGATATTTTTAAAGTTTCATATATCATTTACATTATAATCATATGCTTTCTATTTTTTTTTATTTGGTTAGCTTTCTTCAACAATGCTAAAACAAATTATGTCTGTGATCCTTGAAGTAAATATTACTATTTCTTAACCACTTATGCTTCATTCCGTCAACAAATGTGTCCATTTGGTCCTTCACGAGTAAAAGTGCATTTCTGGCACGTTTTGATAACTGATTCACTTGAATTTCCTCCGCCTTCTCTAAAAGTTTGGAAACATCTTCCTATAAAATAATACAAAGTCATAATCAGTACATTTCCTAAATGATTAATGCAGTGGCCTACCATGTATTTAAATGATAGTTTCTCTAAGTACTCTATATATATGTTTGAACAAATGTATTTTTAACATGGTTGGACTAAGGGAAACTAATTAACTAATTACTACAATACTAAAAACTAATTAGATTCTCACAGATTCAATATCTCATATTTGATATTCAAATGACCATAATTGTCATTGGCAAGGCACGGTTATCCAAAAGAAAAACATTTTATTAATACTTAGGGTTTTATTTTCCACTTTTAAATGAAGAGTAATCTGCCCCTGAAACATTTATTTGAGAATGATCTCCCATAGATCTAGTGGTAGGTGGTGAAACCCAATATCTATAGGTGTATCTTAATCATTGTTGATAACAAGAAGCAAGTGTCCTTTCTTCGATGATAAGTTAAATGGGTAGATTTATCTCTAAGCAAGAAAGCAAAGCAGTGAGGATTTTTTCAGGCCACTGCATGGGGACACAGTGTCAACAGATAGATTTTGACCACAGCTATGCTGGAGGGGCAATACACAATGTTACATAATATATATATTATAAATATATTATGCTGATAAGTTGTCTAGGTCATATGAAGAAAGCACCAGCAACTAGCTAAAGTTACTGCAAACAAAACAATAACAAATTCATGTCACTGAATATTTTTTTTTTATGAAAAACTTCTTTCTCCAACAAAGTAAAGTTTTTCTAACAAAATAAAGCCAGTGTTAATCGTTTCTTCATTTACAACTATGATAATAATATACGCATTTTCTGTGCCGTGGTCCTCACTGCTTTGCTTTTCATTTTTTAATCTTTTCCAAGGCTAGGTCCTTACATTTTTATGTTCCTGGAATATGACGTTAGTTTTGATATAATCCAAATACCAAAGATCAGCTGTATATTGTAATGTCTTAATATTTCTAAATATTACACACACATTGGGTGTGGTATAGCATGCTTCAAAATTTTACCTCAAATTCCTCGAAGTTGTCTGGGTCGATATCATCCAATAAATGAGAATATCGCTGATCTCCACAGAATGAGGCAAACTCAGGACTTTGACGCATTCTCCATTGCCAAAATTCATCACATAGAGCTCTAACTTTGGCATCCTCCATCTTAAGTAGAAAATTTGCTTTTGGGTATGCAAATAGTCTCTTCGTTATAAATCTAACAATCATAACAGTCTGACATAATGCGAACTAAAATACCCTTCTTCTGGTTCTAGCTGGTATTGACCAACTTCAGGGCAGGCGGTAAAACTAGTACCGCTGAAAGCCGACTGCCCCAGCTGCGGTTTTTTGGTGATATATTACTTCACGCTTTTAGCATTTTTCTATGTTGATCTGAAATTCATGCACACTAGATTAGATTCACCGCTTTTGAACAGATGAAATCTCTATTTCAGTATATAATGCCCAATTGATATGTCCAAATATAATTTGAATTTATTTCAATATTTACATCCACTAAATATTTTCTCCTTGATTTCCTAAAAAGGAAAGTGGTGAAGATAATGAAGACTGATGGATCTATTAAAACATTTAAACAAAACAAACTATACACTAGATAGAACCGGTTTTTAAAAGCCATCTATATTAAATAATTCTCAACCGAGTCTCTGGCTCTTCCATCAATATAACATGCGGATACTTTTTTTTTTTACTTAATTTTCATACTGGTGGCACATTTCTGCCCCCTACATGCAAGATATTTCTGCCCCTACATGCAAGATAATTTTTTTTTTAACATGCAACATAATTATGTAGACATGCGACTTATTCATGTCAACATGCAAAGAATTATGTTGACATACAAGTTACCAATCTCTTTAGAGAATCTAATTTTAATGTTGGTAAAATTACTTACCAACGCCATTATATGACATGATACAAGCAAGATGCAACAGAATTATGTTGATATGCGACTTATTTGTGTTAACATGCAAGATAATTATGCCGGTAGACATGCGACTTATTTATGTCAACATGCACGATTATTATGTAGACATGTAACTTTATGTCAACATGCAAGACAACTATGTTAACATGCGAGTTAATTATGTCAACATGCGATATGTATGTTGACATGCAACCTATTATCCTGCATGTTGACATAAATATCTTGCTTTTTAAAATAAAACTCGCATGTTGACATAAATAAGTACCATGTTGACATAAGTAAGTCGATTGATGACATAGTTGCATGTTAGCATAATCATCTTGCATGTTATCGATAAAATATAACTCGCATGTTGACATAAATAAGTCGCATGTTGACATAAATAAGATGCATGTTAACAACTTAACTCGCATGTCTACATAATTATGTTGCATATTAACATAAATAAGTCTCATATTGACATAATTATCTTGCATGTTAACATAATTATTTTGCATGTTGACATAAATAAGTCACATGTCAACATAGTATTCTGTTGCATCTTGCTTGTATGATGACGTATACCGGCGTTAGTCAGTATGTAGTATGTTTACCAACATTAAAATTTGATTCTCTAAAAAGATTAATTGGTAACTTGCATGTCAACATAATTATATGCATGTAGACATAATTATCTTGCGGCATGTTGACACACTCTTCTCGCATGTACAATGTAACATAATTTATCTTGCATGTAGGGGGCAGAAATATGCCACCATAAATAATTTATACAGATAATCATAAACAATAAAATTAACAGTTGCAATCATTGCTACTGAAAAAAATACATCACCCTCATGCGCTTTTTAGTTGTTTTTTTCCGGGGGGGGGGGGGGTATGCAGTGATCCTGTACATATTGATAAATAGCAAACGTGTCTATGAATTTTAGGCAATGTGAAGCAAGCTTCAGACAGACAACTCAGTTGAATCCACCTGGTTTAAAAAGTTATGCCCCTTGACCGCCATCTCTGGCTTTTTTTGGGGGGGGGGGGTTGAATTCTTACAGTGGTCTCTCATTAACGCTCAGAATTTCGGAGCGTAAACAAATTAAGATCTGTTTTTAATCAAATTGTCAAATATTTGGTAGTGTAAACTGAGGAGAAACGTTGCGTTTTCCCCTTCGATCTTGATTGGCCCCGCAAAGGGGAACAACTTTTTGCAAAGTGTGCATTGGACTATTTCGCTACAACTACTTTGCATAATCATATGAAAATCTTAAAATAAAAGCGATCATGCATGGACGAATTCGGAAGTCTGGAGCTTTGTAGTTTATAATATTTTAAATTGACATTGATTTCTTGATATTGTTTGTGCATTTGTGTTTGTTGTGCTTGTTGAATTTATTGCAACATAGAAAATAATTCTGAGATGTATGAAGCGAATCTTTTTACCAATAATGAAATTACAGTCTGGGAGAGTTGGGGGTACTAGATTTATCGCCTACCAGGAAAAGTATAATGCTCCGATGAGGTCAATGCCCTGTTTGACCTGATCAATAAATAAGGTTTTTAAAAGCAAACGCCTCTGTGTATTGTCGTGTAAATGCTAAATTAAGTTGTTGCTATTTAAAAACAAAATTTTTTTCTTGAAAATAATTTTTTAAAGTCTAGTATACATAATAACATGAATAAGTAGGGATAGTGTCCTAATTAATACATATGACAGTCAATAAATCAATAGGATTAAATTTCCAATGAATTTTACAACCACTTATTACATAAATGTAGTTGAGTAGTTGGTTATGTTTTATATCATGAGAGAATCGTATAAGACAACAAGGCTCAACTTCCGAGTACAATTCTGCAGGGTTTTTACGTCCCAATATGAAATGACCTGATTAACATGATCAACAGTTTTGTAGGTAAATAAAGCAGTGCTTCCTTTTAATTTTTTATTTCCTTGTCTTTTCTCCCCCTAGTCTTCCATAATTTGTTCTATGTATGGCTGAGTAGTGCGTTACATTTATGGAAGAACCTACTTTACTTGTTTATCTGTTTATAGAATTTTTTTCACATGATGGGGGGGTTTAAAAACCGGTTCTTACTAGTTTAGAAATCAATTGATTGATTGATAGGGATTGGTTTTTGAAATAAATCAAGGTGAAAATAATCAGTGGATGTAAATATAATACATTTAACTGTCTATAGCTACTTCAAAGAATTCTGTAACAAATGCAATCAAGCCAAATAACTAGGCCACTACTGGGGAACATTCAAAACAGCACTGAAAAGGGTGAATAAGTTGTCAAGTGTTACTTAACTCAGTTTTTGTAGCACACATATAGCCCAGTGGTTGTTGATATCAGTAAAATTCAAAAAAATTTAAACAACGTGCATATAAAAGAGTACATTTAGTTCGCATCATTTTAGAGGTGGACTTCCGGTGTTGGAGCCCCCTTAATTTTTAGCCAAGTGAAGAGTGAGAGAGGATATTTAACATATTTCCTTGAATATTTTTACATATACTAGGTTTTGAATTTAACATAGATCTAGTTCAAAACAGCTTGATCGTCCGAAATCTCTGCTCATATTCCACTTGCTATAATAAATTTACCTTCACTATCTTTAATTTTCAGCGTTTTTATTTATGAATGAAAGGTAAAATATATTCTACTTATTTCAGTATACGATAAGTAACATACGAGGTTCAATTTCATATCAGATTCAGGCGATCTTTGACTACACACCCTTTTCGGATCATTACTTTCAAAAATAAGTCATTAATTTAAAGGGAGTATGCATAAGGTCACAGTAAATTAATTCTTTGTTTTACGTCCCCTGGCGGGTAGGTTTTCAGGAAAATACAGTTAAATAAACAAACACAACTTTGTCAAATTCTCAACAATTTTTCTTTGTATTTTTTGAAAAATTGCAAATCCACTTAATTTTCTGACTATAGTAGTTTTTCGGAAGGTGTTTGTTTTATATTCACACTCTATATTCGGTCCATAAAATATATGAGTTTATTTCTCAGTTGCATGTTAATTTAGTGAAACATTTTCAAGAATTCCTTATCCCCCCCCCCCCAAAATGTTGTAGTATCTTTTTTTAAAATGCAAAAGAATCAAAATCAATTTCTTTGTTGTGTTAATGTCGTGCGAACGAATTAATATCTCGTGAAAACGAGATAACATCTGCGAACGAAATGACATCTCTTGCTGTCTTGCGAACGACGTCGGCAGTGCTCATATTGTATCCATATTCTTATTACTTCATTTACCTTTCAACAATGAAATATGAAGAAAAATCGAACAGTAATCAAACTCAAAAGTCCATCGAAACAATACAGATTTGGGGCAGAGAAAACACGGACCTCTAAAACATCAGAGGTGGGATCAGGTGCCATGGAGGTGTAAGCATACCCCGTTGACCGGTCACACCTGCCTTGTGCTCCTTTTCATGATCGGAACAAATCTGTAGACAATTCAATATGAAAATAATGGCTTAACAATTGGTATGAAAAACGCGAATCACCATTCGACTTATAATGATAGATTGTATTTGCTGACAAGGTCATTGTATCGACCATAGAATATGCGAAATGTTGACTTTAAACGAGACTGTTGATATTCTTGTTTTATCAACTTATTTGTCAATAGCTTGCATTTTTTCGGGTATTGTTCGTACGTAGAGCATTCTCTTGTGTATCGAATCAACTGGGAGATATAAACTTTATATGCAGGTGATAATGGTAAATTGCTACATAAATAAGGGAAGTTGACGATAAAAAAAGTCGGAGTCATACGTTTATCATGAAATATAACGAACAGTATTCAAACTCAAAAGTCCATTAAACAATGCAAATTTTGGTGCAGAGCCTCTAACACATTTGCCATGGAGGAATGAGCATCCCCTACCGACCGGTCAAACCCGCCGTGTACTCCTTGTCATGATCGGGAAATAACGGGAAAATCCATCGTCAATTCAGTGTGTAAATAATACCTAACAATTAGTATGAAAAACGTCAGTCAGCATTTGACTTAATGATTAATTGTATGTGCTTACAAGGTCATTGCATCGACCAAATAACTTACGAAATGACGACTTTAAACAAGACTGCTGATATTCTTGTTTCATCAACTTGTTTGTCAATAACTTACCTCGTTTTACAAATTGTTCATACATAGAGCATGTATGCTCTTGCGTATCGAATCAACTGAGAGATATAAACCCCGCATGCAGGTGATGAATTTATATTACTGCATAAGTAAGGCAAGTTGACGATTGAAAAGTTTTGTTGTTAGGTTACTATTAACGTT